AATTACGCGATACACGAGAGGGAGTCAAGAGACTCAGGACTTGCTTCTCCAGATTGTCAAAGAGCACGCGGCCCCCCAGGCATATGCCAATCTCGGACGCCTCTTTGCATATCATTACATGATCGAGGGTCGAGTTCTCGTGACCACGAACGAAGCAGAAAGGAGTCGAGATCAGCTCTTTTTTGTCTGGGACGGGACATCGTGGGTACAAGACACCTCGAACCTGGTTTCGAGCCTCTTTACATGTCAGATGGGTTGTCTCTTGGCATGGTATGACAGGCAGAGAGAGAGGTGTTTAGGCACTTTGTACGCCAGCCGTCCCGAGTTGGAGGGGTTTGTGGTTGACGGTGTCCCTAAGCCTCTCGATTCCAATCTAGTCAATCCAAAGCAGATGAGGAAGATCAAAATGGCCATGGAGACGTGCGCAAAGGAGCTTGACAATATCATGCCAAGTTTTGGAAGGATAAACGTCCAAGATGTTGCTGACGTACGCAAGTGCTTGCACTCTGCAGTTAGAGAGCTGCACGTGAATGGTCTGCTCGACCGATTTGATCAAGATCCCACGGTTGCAAATGCTCCAAACGGGTTGATCGATCTTCGAACCGGTGCTCTGCTCCCCCATCATCCTCAAAACTTGTGCATCAATCAGACAACTAGATACGTACCGGGTGCTTCCACTCGCCCCACTGCCAGATTTAGAACATTCCTGATGGATGTTCTTCCACCGGAGTCAATCGAGTGGCTCCAGATGTTTCTTGGCTATTGTCTTACCGGAGAGACGCTGGAAGAGCTATTTGTCATCATGAACGGCAACAGTGGCTCGAATGGAAAGGGTGTATTAAAGCAAGCACTCCGAAAGGCCTTCGGACGTTACAATTGCGCGGGGAACAAGGCCATCTTCATCAAACCCACGTTCAAGGCCAATGCCTCTGCAGCCTCAAGCCATCTCATGCAGATTCGAACGAAGAGGTTTGTCACAAATGACGAATCGGAAGGAAGAGAGGTTCTTCACGCGTCTTTTCTAAAAGAGGCCAGTGGTGGCGGTGAGCTTGAGGCTCGCGAGCTGTTC